AGTCACACTCCAAACTCCACTATGGCCAAGACCAAAGAGCTGTCAAAGGACACCAGAAACAAAATTGTAGACCTGCACCAGGCTGGGAAGACTGAATCTGCAATAGGTAAGCAGCTTGGTTTGAAGAAATCAACTGTGGGAGCAATTATTAGGAAATGGAAGACATACAAGACCACTGATAATCTCCCTCGATCTGGGGATCCACGCAAGATCTCACCCCGTGGGGTCACAATGATCACAAGAACGGTGAGCAAAAATCCCAGAACCACACGGGGGGACCTAGTGAATGACCTGCAGAGAGCTGGGACCAAAGTAACAAAGCCTACCATCAGTAACACACTACGCCGCCAGGGACTCAAATCCTGCAGTGCCAGACGTGTCCCCCTGCTTAAGCCAGTACATGTCCAGGCCCGTCTGAAGTTTGCTAGAGTGCATTTGGATGATTCAGAAGAGGATTGGGAGAATGTCATATGGTCAGATGAGACCAAAATAGAATTTTTTGGTAAAAACTCAACTCGTCGTGTTTGGAGGACAAAGAATGCTGAGTTGCATCCAAAGAACACCATACCTACTGTGAAGCATGTGGGTGGAAACATCATGCTTTGGGGCTGTTTTTCTGCAAAGGGACCAGGACGACTGATCCGTGTAAAGGAAAGAATAAATGGTGCCATGTATCGTGAGATTTTGAGTGAAAACCTACTTCCATCAGCAAGGGCATTGAAGATGAAACGTGGCTGGGTCTTTCAGCATGACAATGATCCCAAACACACCGCCCGGGCAACGAAGGAGTGGCTTCGTAAGAAGCATTTCAAGGTCCTGGAGTGGCCTAGCCAGTCTCCAGATCTCAACCCCATAGAAAATCTTTGGAGGGAGTTGAAAGTCTGTGTTGCCCAGCGACAGCCCCAATACATCACTGCTCTAGAGGAGATCTGCATGGAGGAATGGGCCAAAATACCAGCAACAGTGTTGAAAACCTTGTGAAGACTTACAGAAAACATTTGACCTGTGTCATTGCCAACAAAGGTTATATAACAAAGTATTGAGAAACTTTTGTTATTGACCAAATACTTATTTTCCACCATAATTTGCAAATAAATTCATTAAAAATCCTAAAATGTGATTTTCTGGATTTTTTTCCCTCATTTTGTCTGTCATAGTTGACGTGTACCTATGATGAAAATTACAGGCCTCTCTCATCTTTTTAAGTGGGAGAACTTGACAATTGGTGGCTGACTAAATACTTTTTTCCCCCACTGTAGGAGGACCTGTTTCAAATAGTTTGGGGAAAATATCCTTTCTATTTTTCAGTTATGTTCAGTTTTATTCTTCTTACCAGGGGTTGGAACCAAAATTATTTTCCAATCGTTTCGTTCTGAACAGAACCACAATAATTTTTTTGTTTCATTCCGCTCTTTTTCGACCAGCAAAATAAAGTTCTGAACCGGGTCGAACCCAAAAAATACTGGTTTATATCGTTCCTTTTTTGTTCCTTTTTTTACCTGTGAAATCAACCGTTTTTTACATTTAGCTGATGAAATGACTTCACCCATCAGTGCAGATAGAACAGGCGAGCTAGTTGTTTACATGTTTGATGGACAGACAAGTGTAGCCTAAATTATGGCGCAATATGTGAGTAAAATGTTGTTGGTAGGGAGAGAGCGAGAGGGTTGAGGAGGAGGCTTGAAGCGCTGGGCCTTTTGACATGCATTATCTGAATTAGGTCCACAGAATTATGCATAGGAGGAGCGGCTTCTATGGAGGAACTTTGAATGTCCTTTGAGCGAGTAAGCTAACTAACAAGCTTGAGCTAGCTAGCTAACAAGCTTGTGTGTGCAGAGCGGCACCAGAATTAAAAACACGTCTTACCTTTTTGTAGTTAATAAATCAAATTGTGAAACGTTATAACTAGGCCTTATGTATCCTTAACTAGCATTGAAAAAGTTAATCTATTCTTCTCTAGCTAATTAAAAATCTCTCTCCCTATCTTCTGAATCAAGCTTGTAATGTCAGTACAGTAGCCTATGCTTCGGAGGGGGGAGGGGCAGGTAGCCTAAACACGCACAGGCAAAGATTTTCAGTTTGCAGGCAGCCATGAATACGTTTCTGAGTGACAGAGTGAGGGCTTTGCATAGGCGCCTTGTTGTGGACTAGAATAAAAATGCCTGGAAGGTAAAATAACATTATTAACAGGTTCCCATGCTTTTAAAATGACAGTTCTGTTCCGGAACAGTATGGATCACTTTCGTTCCAGGTTCCGTTTCTGTTTCGTTAAATGTTTTGTTATTTTTTGGTTCTATTCCCTGAACAGGTTCCAACCACTGCTTCTTACTATTAAATAATGCCACAGGAATTATAAGCAAATTGTCTTCCAAATTAACTAGTGTAGCCCACAGCCATATGGCATAGCCGGATCAGGGCCTAACATAAGGATGACTCAGAATATGTATTCTGTTCTTCTGAAATAGGCTACATTTTCTTCATATCATAATGTTTCTTTAGACCTGCCTAAAATGTCCTCTGTAGCTCAATTGGTAGAGCATGGCGCTTGTAACGCCAGGGTAGTGGGTTCGATCCCCGGGACCACCCATACGTAAAAATGTATGCACACATGACTGGATAAAAGCGTCTGCTAAATGGCATATTATTATATTATTATTAAAATACTGTAAATAGCCTAATGAATTTGTGATGGTGTAGGCTATACAGCAGGGGTGTCAAACTCATTTTAGCTCAGGGGCCACATGGAGGAAAATCTATTCCCAAGTGGGCCGGACCGGAAAAATCATGGTATATATAACTTAAAAACAACAACTTCAGATTGTTTTCTTTGTTTTAATACGATCAACATACAACATAAAGCTGGAGCTTGAGGACAGTGTGTCCAAAATAGGACAAGCACAACATCACTATTGATCATAAAACACGTCAAGTTTATTTGAAAATTCTAAAGAAAAAGAACACACAAACACACAATGCCTCAGTGATTAACAGAACTGTTTCACAGATCACAGAACTATATCAGGGTGTCATTTCTCAGGCAGAAATGTAGATAAAAATAATGAAATCCTGTTCCCCAAACAAGTGCAAGAACCACAGAGTCAAGAATAGGTTAAATATACAAATAAAATAAAATCAATTAAAAACAATAGCACATCAACATAAAAACATATAAACATAAAGCTGGAGCCTGAGGACAGTGTCCAAAAGCACAACATCACTATTAATCATAAAACACCTCAAGTTATTTGAAAGTTCTGAGGACAAAGAACACACAAACACACAATGCCTCAGTGATTCACAGAAGTATATCACAGATCACAGAACTATATCAGAGTGTCATTTCTCAGGCAGAAATGTAGATAAAAAATAATGAAATCCTGTTCCCCAAACAAGTGCAAGAACCACAGTCAAGAATAGGTTAAATATACAAATAAAATAAAATCAATTAAAAACAATAGCACATCAACATAAAAACCTAAATCTGAAAGCGTTGCTCAAACTCCCGTAACAGTCCCGTTATTTTATCTTTGAACCGCTTCATGTCTGCCACATGTTGGGTCGCGCACACATTTTTCAGACAGGGGAAGTGAGCTGCATCACCACCGGCAAGTTGCTTCTCCCACAATGACAGCTTCAACTTGAAAGAACGTATGCTGTCATAATACTGCGTGACAACTTTGTTGCGCCCTTGCAGCTGTTTGTTCAAGTTATTCAGGTGCTCTGCACCATCTGTAGCCAGGCTGACAGCGCGGGACCAGTCCCTGTCCAGCGCGCCGACGAGTGCGGTAAAAATATCAGCTGCTGTCGTTGTATCTGTCATCGGCACCAACTCCACGAACTCCTCGGTGACGGTCAATGTGTCATCAACTCCGCGGATGAAAATTGCCAGTTGTGCAACATCTGTAATGTCCGTGCTTTCATCAATTGCAACCGAAAACGCAATAAATGACTTTACTTTTTGCTTCAACTGGCTGTCCAAATCCACTGAAAGATCAGAAATCCTGTCTGCAACTGTGTTTCTTGTCAGGCTGATATTTGCAAAAGCCTGCCGCTTTTCAGGGCACTCAATCTCCGCTGCCTTCATCATGCATGTTTTTACAAATTCACCCTCACTAAATGGTTTTGAAGCCACTGCGATTTCATTAGCAATGAGGTAGCTAGCTTTCACTGCAGCGTCACTGATGTCTCGGCTGTGAGTAAACACAGACTGCTGTTTCTTCAGACCCGCCAACAGTTCATTCACCTTCTCTCATCTCTGCTGTCCTTGAAAGTTGTCATATTTGTCGGCATGAAGACTCACATAGTGGCGACGAAGGTTATATTCTTTCAGCACTGCAACATGCTCTGAACACACCAAACATACAGCTTTCCCATTCAATTCCATGAATAGGGTTAGAGGGTGCCAAAGCACATAATGTTAAAAGTAGAAGCCGTAATAAATATCGCGGGCAAAACAAAGTAGCTCATTGGCTGCACGTGCTTGACCTACTTGCTCTGCCCCGGTATAAACAGTTTGCTTGCTTAACACAATTGCTATTGCGCCATCCAGTGGACGCAATTGGAACAGCAGTTTATTTTATTGAAAAATTGCAGCGCATTTTTATACTTTACCATTTTTTTTCTTCTTTTTTATCTTTTTTTTCCCGAAATCATCTCGCGGGCCGGATTAAACCCATTTGCGGGCCTGATCCGGCCCGCGGGCCGGACGTTTGACACCCCTGCTATACAGTATGAAATGGATTTATTAGACTTTAAAATCTAGATGTTCCAAAGGTCTGCATCAGTGGCTTGTAGGCTATGCGTGGAAGCCCGGAGCTGCTATATGTGTTTGTTAATTAACGATCAATTACTGTGAGACCAGCAGTTATTTGCATGACAGTTAATGGCTGACAAAATGTAATGACAGCCGTAGTCATACCATGTCCTGACCTTATCACATCCTGTGTCCTCTTGTTTAAATTACTTATTTAACTCTTGTCCTCCATCCATTTCTACCCCAGACAAGGCCGGAGGGAACAAGTTTGCCAAGGACTTTGAAGAGGGCAGCCAGAAGCTGCAGGAGTTTGTCAGTTTCCTGGAGAACCAGATGCCTGTAGGGCCCCCTCTGCTGGAGGCTCTGGGAAACGCAGACGTCTTCTATGAGATGCAGTACAAGGAAGTCAAGATCGTGGCCAGCGTGAGTATCAACCAGTCATTCAGTTAATCTGATCATCATCAATCAAATAAACAATCTAATAAAAATATAATAAATCGTTCTAATTTTCAAGGCCTACAAAACCTTTGCCAACCGCGTGGTCAACCTCAAACGTAAACTGGACGCCCTCAAGTCCTCCCTACCCGGTCCAGAGGACTCCCCCATCCCCTCCCCCTCTGAGGACGCTCCCTCACCCACCGGCTCTGACTCTCCCTTCCTGGGGCTTGGGGGAGGCCGAGGGGGGAGGCTGGGCTTTGACCCGGACCTAGATGGGAGTGCCATGGACGAGAGGGACATGGGAGTGGTGAGAGCGGGGGACAACAGAGATGTGGAGGACATGGATCTGTCTGAGGAGGAGATGGAGACAGCCAACACAGGTGAGGAGATGGTAGTAGAGCCAGTAGGGAAATCTCAATTAGACTAAACCTTGTCAAAATAAAAATGAACTAACACTTTAACCCCCTGTGTTTCAATCAGCTGAGAAGCAGTCATCATCAGCCACCGTTTCCAAGGCGACCAGCTCCAAGACCGCAGCGAAACCCGCCCCTGTCATACCCATTCGAACCTCCACTGACTCCCCTCTCAAAAAGGCAGCCCCCTCTACCCCCACCCCGGTGACCCCCAGCACCCCTACGAGCGCGGGCGTGAGTGGCCCTAGCGGTCCGACCGCTCCTCTGGGAATGAACCTGGCCAACGTGGACCTGGGCAAGATCAGCTCCATACTGAGCAGTATCACATCAGCCATGAAGAACACAGGTGTGTGTGTGTGTGTCTGCAAGATAAGCTGAATTAATATATTGATACTGTGACACGCTGGTACAGAAATTATAAGATTGTTCCCTCTCTCTCTCTCTCTACATTTGTCTCCCTCAGCAGCCAGCCCCGTGTCTCGCCCCTCCCCTGGAACTCCCACCACCCCCTCTGGCCCAATCATCTTCCTCTAAAACCCCAGTTGGCCCCACCCCTCCTAGCCCAGCCCTGGCCAGCATCCTGTCCAGAGTGAACGTCACCCCTGAAGGCATCCTCAACGCCCTGTCAAAGACCCACACACAGGGTGAGACACACAACAAACAAACAAACAAACAAACAAACAAACAGATAAGATAGACTTTGAGATGGGAAATGCAAGGCTTCTGTTGGAATTGTTTCAGCTCATTTTGGGGGGCACTTGTTATGTTGTGTAACTTTTGTATCTGCTGGTGTAATTATCTCCAACCACCCACTCTCTCTCTCTCTTTCTTTCTCTCTCTCTCTCTCCCCACATATCTTTGTTTCCCTCCATCTTCTCTTCTCTCTCCTCAGGTCTGTCCTCTCTGCTGAGGTCTGGTAGCTCCTCCTCCTCTGCCCCCTCCTCCCATGCCTCCCCAGACTCCTCAGCAGCCAAGGGCCCCCCCACACCCACCACTCCCAGCAACACCAAACCCCCCCTGACCAACAGCCTCAAACGAGACACACCTGAGAAGAGCAGAGGAGCCAGGGACTGGGAGAAAAACCGAGAGGCCTCTTCTCCCCCCCCTCCTCCTCCTCCTCCCACTCTCCCTAGCCACTCTGTTTCTCCTCCCAGCCTAGAGTCTAAGATCAACCGTTTCCTCCAGGGGAACCCAGGGTTCAGTCTGGGCCTGGGGGATGGGAGCCCTCTGCTGGGGGGAGACGGGGTAGACGGGACCCCCGTCAGGGATGAGAGCGGGGGCACCCCCACCCAGGACGAAATCATGGACACACCAGGGGGTGTCTCCTCCGACCCCCTTGGCCTCAACAGTGACCCCAAGAGCTTAGGGTCATCCGTAGGTCACAATCTTTCACCCACAGCCTACCGCAGTGACCCTTGGGACGCCGTCATCACCCCAACAGGAAGCAGCAGCGACAGGGACTTCCTCTCTTCCTCTTCTCGTTTCCAAGGTTACGGAGTGGGGAAGAAGGCCGCCAAGCTGAAGGAGGAAGATTTGAAGAGGAAGACTAGCTCTTCATCACTGGGAAGCAGCAAGGTCAAGAAGGATGGTCAGAACAGTCAGGGGAAGAGTCACGGGAACGACAGATCAGTCGGCGGAGAGAGGAGAGTGTCCGTAGGTTCCCGCAAGACCAGCAGCGGGTCAGAGGAGGGAGGAATGAGTGGAACGAGGGATGAAAAGGGAAAGAGGGGAGGAGAGGATGGTGGGGGCTCATCTGACGGGGAGGGAGGGCAGTACCACCGTATCGAGACGCTGGTGTCGCCTTGCACCGAGGGAGCACCTTTCCAATCACTGGGGGGCTTCTCAAACCGCCAGCCAACCGGAGAGCGCATCCAGACGGTGGAGAGCATCCGCGTGATTGGCCAAGGGCTGCGTCGCGGGGGTGGAGGGGAAGGGGGAAGGCCAGGTGGAGGGATGTGGTACGAGGAGGAAGGGTACCTGGATGCGCAGCCCCCCTCACCTTCCCATCAGGGCGGCTCTGACGACATTACTTCCCCCACCATGCCTCCCCCGCCCCCACACCACCACCTTCCTCCTCATTCTAATCAACCTCCTCACCCCCACCCTCATTCGCACGGCCCCCCACCCCAGTTCCAGATGCCCCCCTACCATGGGGAGAACCCCCAGGGTCCTCCCCCCTCACACCTCCACCATCACCCCCCTCCTCCCTTCTTCAACTCCCCTCCTCCACCCATCCCACGCCCTCCACCCCCTCCCATGCCCCAGCTCCCTCCACCCCCGCGCAACTTCCTTCCCCCCTCGGCAGTCATGGTAGGCGGGGTTCTAGTCCCCATCGACCGCCAGCTGCCCCTCCCTCCCCAGGTCCGTCCAGATGGAGGAGGAGACCGAGGGGGGATGGGAGGGGGACCCAGGGGGGGTAAAGGTGGCCCCACTCCCCTCATGTCCTCTCTGTTAGGGGAGCCCCCTAAGATGCCTCGTCCCGGCACAGTCAAAGAGCATTTCACCCCCCGCCACGCACCCCCTCTCCACCGCCCTGGCACCCCCGGTGCCCCGCCTCCCTTACTGGGCCGTGTCAAGGATGGCCTCAACCTCCCTCCTCCCTCTCCCTCTCCCTCCTCCCCTCCCTCTCCCTCAGGTGACCCCCTGCCTCCTCGTCCCCAAGCTCCTCCACTCCAGCACCCTCCAGCTAGCCCCCCTGCCCAGCCCCGACACCCCAACCCCAACCATCCCCGCCGTCCCTCGCCATCCCTCCTGCGCCCCCCCCCCAACCCCCGCCCCCCCATCAACTCCATCCCCCAGAGACCTCTACTCCACCCTCGCGGCCCCCCTGCCCACCCGCACCTCAACCGAGAGCCACCCATGTTCCGTGGGGGCAAGCGTCCTGGCCCTCCGTTCGGCGGGGGCCGAGGAGGTCCCTTCTACCCCCCCAAAAGACCTTTCTTACCCCCACGCTATTGAAGTGTTAACCCACGATAAGCTGAATTGTAAGCAACCCACACACCTAGCTACCCGACACGGGGAGAAGATGTGTAGAACCCTTCTGGTATGAGCCCAGTCTGTCCTCACTATGTTAATCCTACTGGAGTCATTCATCTTACTACATTTAGCTGATCGCACCTTCACACAAGCTAGCTCGTCACCTCACCACAATACAGTACCAGCTTAGTGCAGTGTTATGGATGAAATAGGTAACCAAACCAAATCTGCCTCCAATCCCCAGGAGCGACAGTGTTCTCTGCTTCCCCTCACTAAAGCAGTGTGGGAATAATGGAGGTGTGAACTAGAAGGGAGACAACAATCAAACAGATCTAATAGAAAAAGAAACATCAGGTGGTTATTCTATTTCACTAAAATTCTACTTACCTCCGGTATTGTGTGATTAAACTGATATAAACACTTTCAGAGAGAGAGAAGGAGGGAGGGGGGGATGGGATGGAGGGAGGGGGGTTTGAGGAAGAAAGTTGCTCCCTGAGAGTGTGTCCTAAATACAACAATTTTTCTCAACAGGAAGTGGTTATCCAAATGAGTGTTCACTTTATGATCAGTGTGCTGTTGTTGGAGTTTCTTGACGATAACCCCAGCGTGCTCCCAGTGTATCATATTGTAAATAATAACCTTGTTTCTCTCCTTCTAGAGGTTTCCATGCTTTAGTCTCTCTTCCCTCTGTATATTTCTCAGCTTTTAAATGTATAGACTGAATGAGTTGGCCATGTTAAGACTATTAAACCTTGGTTGTTTGTGTAAAGAGGACAAGCATCGCTATTCACTAACTTGTGATTGACACGATTGTGAAGAAGCCTTAGCTTTAGTGACACATGAGGCAGATGTTCATGCTTCTCGTTGCTCCAACAAAACACCACTCTGTCCATCTCCATCTCTCCAATTTGAGGCAGAGAGAGGGGAGGAGAGTGAAGAATCGTCCAGTGTAAAGACACATTTAGCTGATAATGATGAGTTGTGGAGACTCACAGTAGTTGAGGCGGGTGCTTTAGAAGTTTGAACTATGAACCCGCTGTGTCTCTGCTAGGCCATCTCTACCTGTATTGTCTTTAATAAAATACAGTTTCAACCCAACCAAGGGGAGGGTACTACTTTCTTTGATACAGTCACAGTCATGGATACCGGTAAGAACCAGTCGCAGCAGTTATCATGGCTGCTGTTGTATGATAGATATTTTTTGTCTAGTTATTCAAAGCTGAATTGAAATGCTGAAACATTACTTATAACAGTACAAACAATGTCATTTTTTTTCTCCAACTACTCATTTGTTCTGAGTAGTTTTGGATTTCTTGCTGAGATTTTTGTTGTGTGTCTAACTTCACGTCAGATGTAAAATATCTATACTTGCCTATGCACGTGCAGCGCACTCTATCTATCCAGTCCTGAAGTTTTTTTGTTTGTTACTTCTTCCCTTTTCCCTTCGTTACCTTTCCTAGATTTAGTCTCTTGTTTTTCCTCCTTTCCTTCCTCTGACGCTGTACTTCCTGGATCAACAGTTAGAACTGTAGAATACCAAATAACACCAATGAAGAAGTGATGAGTGAATTATCTGCAAACATTCATTACTCATTAAGATAATGGGAAAACAATGTAAATGCTCATCTAGATTTCCTATCAGTGTTAGTTTATCAGTTTATAGTGTTCTGCTATAAAGTCTGAATCGAAGCTACAACTCTGCTTGCTTTGACTATATATATGACGTGATGCTTCTCTATGTCACTGCTGATAATGACCAGATCAACTCAGTCAGTTTGGTTTGTGTGCGTTCCCTGCTGTACAGTAGACTAAATGACTTATCCTCAGTTAGACAGACCGCTAGCCACCAGGATGGATTCAGAGAATTCATCATTTTCTTTGAATAGTTTGTTTAAATAATATTGTCATTCAATGTACTCTTGAGTTTGAAATATGTTTGTTTGAATAACCTTTGCGTGAAAATGCTTAAGATTTGAGGAATCTAATGGTGTGTGTATAGTCTGCATTAACTATGTAATGATTCAGTCATGAAGGGGGTGGCTGTGTTATGTTTTTCTCTTCTTGATTAGATGCATTGCTATTATTTTTGTTATGATCATCAATGATGTTCTATCATTAATCTTTTGAGTGTCCAATCCTTTCCGATGCTACTGCTCTCCTCTCTCTCTACCACTGGTCCTTCCTGTAGTTCAGTGATTTACTATGTTTACCAATGACTGTCACAATTTAGACATACAGCCAGGCATTTACTTCATATGAATTCTTTACAGTTTAAACCACTCTCCATGGAGTCCTACTGCATGTGTTTTTATTTTAAAGACAGCCTCTGCAATTATGAATATTCAATACATAATCAACCCCTTGGCCTTACCTTTTAGGCACTTGTCGATCTGGGAGGATTACATTGGCTAGAGGTGGCATACACCTATCAGAGTCAAGGTGCTGCTATTACCGTATTACACCTACCCAATCCTTTCATATACGTGAAGTGCGTAGTAGGGACTAGGGGTTGATTTAGTGACCGGAACAGGCAGAGTAACCACTCCCATTGACCACAGAGCACTGACATGAAGACCGTACTGTACCATATGGGTTAATACCAGTGGTGGCTGGTGGCACATTAAATGGGGAGGACGGGCTCATAGTAATGGCTGGAACGGAATAAATTGAATGGTATCAAACACCTGGTTTTCCATGTGTTTGATACCATTCCATTAACTCCATTCCATCCATTATTATGAGCTGTCCTCCCCTCACCAGCCTCCTCTGGTTAAGACTGAGGTAGTCACTGCCATGCTATTACACCCATTGTGGGTTTAGTTCTATTATTGACTGTCTGAAGATCCTAACCCAGAAGTGGGTTACCATTTATTGTTTTCCACACACACCCACACACACGTGTGCACACAGAAGTGATTCCATCCTACAGTATCTACCATACCCATCTGCATTCAACCTTTTCGATTGACACTGATTTTCTTGGTTGTGCAGCTCACATCCTTGCACAGAGCTCTAGTCCACATGTCTTTGCTGTCACATCCATAGTTCCTCCCAAACCAGTCCACTGCATGAATGACGCACCTTGACTCTGATTTCACTGTCTGGCACAGAGCCGTTGAAAGCATTGAAGTCTGTAACCTACCCACCCCGTATTCAGTGCAAAGTCACTGCACAGTTCTTTACATGTATTACCCCTGTCCTGTTAATGAAAGTTAGTTGAGATAATATTGTAATATTACCACATATACTGTTCTGAGAAGACCTGATAGGTGAAAGCAATGTGGGGAAAGTGTGCTAAACGTATTTGCGTTCACCGGTTTACTTAATTCAGATCAGTGTAGATGAAGGAAAAGATGTGATGAGAGACATTGAGATGCTCTTTATACAAACATAAATAGGTTTCACCCTATGAGAATACACAAGTCTCTTAGCTGTGTGGTGGTGGGGTTCCAAGTATGAGATACTGACGGTGAACAAGTATTTAATTGTGCTTGATAATGTCCCATATTTCATGTAGTAGCCAAGGAGAATGACATTTCCCCTAGACACTGATCTAATATCAGTTTTGAGTTTTACCCCTAATGAGATTTTGTCATCAGTATTTTGGGTAACCTGATTCTAGGGCTCTAACTCAATTTGTCTTTCTGTGATTCCTCGTGTCCTATCTCCTCACCCCCGTCCTCAAATGTATTGGAGGAGAAGGTCCAAGGTCCCTCTAAGGGCATTCTACCCATGGACTGGACCCATTTCAGTGTGTTTTCAGTGACACTGCACAGGTGGTCCTAAGTCCCTAGTTAAATTACTCTAGCGCCACCAAGCGTTCTTTCAATGTTCTCTCTTATACGAGCCAGTCTGCGTCACTTGCAGATCCCCTTCTCTCTAAACTCATATTGACGTTTATGTTAGTACATCACCACTATGAAACTCTCTGAAGTATATTTTACTTCAGTTATTTACATTTATGTAGAATAAATGAAACTATATTTACTTGTATATCGGTAAAATAAAATTACCTACAAGTTAACTATAAATTATTTAAAAACTATTATACACAAAGACGTCTACAAACACTATGAGCTTGGAACCAATATACCTTACGTGGAATGAAATAACGAAACCCTATTGATCATTTAACCATGCGCTCCTTAGTGGTGTCTTGAACGTACGAAATGAGATGGCAGTGTCAAAGCTTCTCAAAGTAGACTTCAGTAATGTTGCTCAACTGTCAACTAGTCTCTTACATAGTCTCTCAAACTAATCCTAGTTATAGGCTACTTTATATTAAAACAATGTAAACGAAATAGGCTATTCATACTATTCCTTCCAGAAGTCTGTTCAAAGTAGCCTAATTTCTGCCTCACGTTACAGGCGAGTACATTTGAGCTATGTGCATGTAATAACCTAATAATGGTGCTCTGAGCTACAATATTCTCTGCTTTTCCTCTCTCTTCATGCAGCCAAGCAATGAATGGATATGGATCAATTCTGTTCAGGCGCTGCACAGATGCAGTGATCTACTCACGTTGGGATGGATTTATTGAACGCTCCACTCTTTTGATCTTGGGCGTAATTTGACTAAATTTAGGAATTGAGCATGCCTGTGTTAAATAGATTCAGGTCATTTTCATGGCAAGCCGGTTTTAGATGGATGCTGTGAAGTTAGTCTCGTGTGCCTGAAATGGATCGCGGGCGCCACTGAGATGTATAAATTAACGGTGAGCGCGCCTTTTTTTTGTTGACGCTCACCAACGTGCGCGCACTTGCTACTACATCACAAGTTTCCGCCCTCTTCCCTTGCTCGCCAATCACCTTTCTTCCCCATCAACTTCATTCTTCCGGTGTTATGGCCGCTTGCAGCGTAAGAGACAACGAGTGTGAAATGTTATGATTATGGAAATTTGTCGGTGAAACCGGTGAATTAAGGATGCTCGTGACTGTGCTGTTACGGTTTCCCGTCTGTCGGCCGTCAGTTCGGGCAGTGCTTCGCTCTCAGAGGCGTTATAGCAAGGTGTGCAACCTTATCAAACCGTGATCTGTTATGAAATGTAGCTGTACTGACCAACTGAGTACAGTATCATTGGGTTGTGTAGCTAGCCTTCTCCAAATCAGTGGCGTAACATTTTCCTATGACAGGTGTGGGCGTGTCCTCTGACAAACCATTGGATGGATCTATGAATAGCCCAGAAGGTGTTCTGACGGCCAAACAAGACTGCACGATAATCTGTCATGTAATTTGTGTCTCTCTGTGTGACCACAAGGGTTTTTTGAGGGGTGTTTGGTGGGAAGGGACAGTTCTCAATTAAGCTTATTATTGGGTCCTCTCTCTCTGAAATATGCAACTACTAATGTATGTTTGATCATAATACCATACGTTTTGTTATGAATTCCATATTGTGTAAAGATTTGATCTATAATGATTACATGGTAATAATATATAATCCCGTTGTCTGTATTGTTGTTGTTCACATTGACCCCTGTTCTCTCTTCTTTCCTATTCCCTTGTTTCCTACTTTCTCCTACCCTTTGCCTCTAGATACAGGCGTCCCCTGCTCTGTCTGAGCGTGTGCGGGTATTTGAGTCTCTCAGAGAGAGACGGGGCCAGCCGAGGACAAGCGGCGCCACAGAACAGGCCCTCAGCGTCCGATTGGCTGATGGCAGGACGGTGAAGGGCACCACAGGAGTGACCACACCCTCACTCATCGCCCAGAACGCACGGTTAGCCTCTCAGACGTGTGTGTGTGTGTGTTGATTCAGAATCCTAAAAGTCAGGGAAGGGTTATCCCCAGTGCTTGACTTGGAATGAAATAGTTGCTGGTACTTATTTTGAGTACTGTTTATATTTCGGTGAAGGAACTCTGCAATACTTTTGAGCTAATATTCAATAAGAGGTGCAGGAACTCAAGCAGCAGAAATGTTGAGGGGCCGGTACTCTGCTCCAGTGAGCTCCTTTCCAGGTCAAGCACTAGTTATCCAAAATGTTATCCCTCAGAACACATGTGCTGCGTTTAAACAGGCAGCCCAATTCTGATATTTTTTCCACTAATTGGTCTTTTGACCAATCACATCAGATCTTTGCACATCAGATCTTTTTCAGAGCTGATCTGATTGGTCAAAAGACCAATTAGTGAAACAAATATCAGAATTGGGCTGCCTGTCTAAACGCAGCCTTAGTAACTCCAATCTGAAAGCAAACACACCTATGTGTCCCATCTGTGTTTGCTTTCAGATTGGAGTTTGGTCAAATTGGATAGGTGTAAGCAAACGTACATTGACATTATCTCTAACCCTCTAACTCTCCATGTCTGTGCAGTGTGAAAGGTGCTCTAGTGAGCAGGGTGAATGGAGAGCTGTGGGAGCTGCTTCGCCCCCTGGAGGCTGACTGTGAACTACAGCTGCTGGGCTTCGACACCACAGAGGGCAAACAGGTACTTACTAAGAACATTCCCGCAATCATCTAACCCGATAGAAGATCTTACATGTGGAGCAGTCAAAGATGCAGAGGTTGACCTCTTCTCTCTCTCATCCCCTCTCGCTCATCTCTTTCATCTTTTCCCTTTCTGCCTCCCTCTCTCCCCCAGGCGGTGTGGAGGACAGGAGCGTGTGTAGTGGGGGGGGTGTTAGAGGGGGTGTTTGGGGCAGAGGTGTGCAGAGAGGGCGTGTCAGAGTCTGGCCTCTACTGTGACCACCTCCTGGAGAACAGGTAAGACATTTCCCTCTTTATAATATAATTTATAATAATATATGTCATTTTGCAGATGCTTTTATCCAAAGCGACTTAGTCATGCGTGCATACATTTTACCCCACTAACCATCTCCTCATCGTGTGGCGCCCCTTTAAGCCAGAACAGCTACTTTGAGGGAGGGAGGGAAGGAAGGAAGGAGGGATGCATTTGTTTTCTAACAGGGACCCTGACCTCTCATTCTTCACCTTTGACCTCTGACCCAGTCTCCTAGTGCTCAGTAGGTTCCCCTGAGCTAGGTAGAGGAGAGCTGAAAGGAGGCCACAGTCTCACCTACTTTCTGACTCTCCCACGCCCACCACGTTTTTCACCTGTCTGAATGAGGATACACATATATACAGTGGGGAAAAAAAGTATTTAGTCAGCCACCAATTGTGCAAGTTCTCCCACTTAAGAAGATGAGAGAGGCCTGTAATTTTCATCATAGGTACACGTCAACTATGACAGACAAAATGAGAATTTTTTTTCCAGAAAATCACATTGTAGGATTTTTTATGAATTTATTTGCAAATTATGGTGGAAAATAAGTATTTGGTCAATAACAAAAGTTTCTCAATACTTTGTTAAATACCCTTTGTTGGCAATGACACAGGTCAAACGTTTTCTGTAAGTCTTCACAAGGTTTTCACACACTGTTGCTGGTATTTTGGCCCATTCCTCCATGCAGATCTCCTCTAGAGAAGTGATGTTTTGGGGCTGTCGCTGGGCAACACGGACTTTCAACTCCCTCCAAAGATTTTCTATGGGGTTGAGATCTGGAGACTGGCTAGGCCACTCCATGACCTTGAAATGCTTCTTACGAAGCCACTCCTTCGTTGCCCGGGCGGTGTGTTTGGGATCATTGTCATGCTGAAAGACCCAGCCACGTTTCATCTTCAATGCCCTTGCTGATGGAAGGAGGTTTTCACTCAAAATCTCACGATACATGGCCCCATTCATTCTTTCCTTTACACGGATCAGTCGTCCTGGTCCCTTTGCAGAAAAACAGCCCCAAAGCATGATGTTTCCACCCCCATGCTTCACAGTAGGTATGGTGTTCTCTGGATGCAACTCAGCATTCTTTGTCCTCCAAACACGACGAGTTTAGTTTTTACCAAAAAGTTTTATTTTGGTTTCATCTGACCATATGACATTCTCCCAATCCTCTTCTGGATCATCCAAATGCACTCTAGCAAACTTCAGACGGGCCTGGACATGTACTGGCTTAAGCAGGGGGACACGTCTGGCACTGCAGGATTTGAGTCCCTGGCGCCGTAGTGTGTTACTGATGGTAGGCTTTGTTACTTTGGTCCCAGCTCTCTGCAGGTCAATCACTAGGTCCCCCCGTGTGGTTCTGGGATTTTTGCTCACCGTTCTTGTGATCATTTTGACCCCACGGGGTGAGATCTTGCGTGGAGCCCCAGATCGAGGGAGATTATCAGTGGTCTTGTATGTCTTCCATTTCCTAATATTTGCTCCCACAGTTGATTTATTCAAACCAAGCTGCTTACCTATTGCAGATTCAGTCTTCCCAGCCTGGTGCAGGTCTACAATTTTGTTTCTGGTGTCCTTTGACAGCTCTTTGGTCTTGGCCATAGTGGAGTTTGGAGTGTGACTGTTTGAGGTTGTGGACAGGTGTCTTTTATACTGATAACAAGTTCAAACAGGTGCCATTAATACAGGTAACGAGTGGAGGACAGAGGAGCCTCTTAAAGAAGAAGTTGCAGGTCTGTGAGAGCCAGAAATCTTGCTTGTTTGTAGGTGACCAAATACTTATTTTCCACCATAATTTGCAAATAAATTCATTAAAAATCCTACAATGTGATTTTCTGGATTTTCTTTTCTCATTTTGTCTGTCATAGTTGACGTGTACCTATGATGAAAATTACAGGCCTCTCTCATCTTTTTAAGTGGGAGAACTTGCACAATTGGTGGCTGACTAAATACTTTTTTTCCCCACTGTACATACATACAGTACCAGTCAAAAGTTTGGACACACCTACTCATTCCAGGGTTTTTCGTTATTTTTACTATTTTCTACATTGTAGAATAATAGTGAAGACATCAAAACTATGAAATAACTCATATGCAATAATGTAGTAACCAAAAAAGTGTTAAACAAATCTAATTATATTTTATATTTGAGATTCTTCAAAGAAGCCACCCTTTGCCTTGATGACAGCTTTGCACACTCTTGGCATTCTCTCAACTAGCTTCATGAGGTAGTCACCTGGAATGCATTTCAATTACAGGTGTTAACTGTACATACAGTTGAAGTCTGAAGTTTACATACACTTAGGTTGGAGTCATTAAAACTCGTTTTTCAACCACTCCACAAATGTGTTGTTAACAAACTATAGTTTTGGCAAGTCGGTTAGGACATCTACTTTGTGCATGACACAAGTAATTTTTCCAACAATTGTTTACAGACAGATTATTTCACTTATAATTCACTGTATCACAATTCCAGTGGGTCAGGAGTTTACATACACTAAGTTCACTGTGCCTTTAAATAGCTTGGAAAATTCCAGAAAATGATGTCATGGCATTAGAAGCTTCTGATAGGCTAATTGACATAATTTGAGTCAATTGGAGGTGTACCTGTGGATATATTTCAAGGCCTACCTTCAAACTCAGTGCCTCTTTGCTTGACATCATGGGAAAATCAAAAGAAATCAGCCAAGACCTCAGAAAAAAAATGGTAGACCTCCACAAGTCTGGTTCCTCCTTGGGCGCAATTTCCAAACGCCTGAAGGTACCATGTTCATCTGTACAAACAATAGTACGCAAGTATAAACACCATGGGACCACGCAGTGGTCATACCGCTCAGGAAGGAGACTCGTTCTGTCTCCTAGAGATGAATGAACTTTGGTGCGAAAAGTGCAAATCAATCCCAGAACCACAGCAAAGCACCTTGTGAAGATGCTGGAGGAAACAGGTACAAAAGTATCTATATCCACAGTAAAACTAGTCCTATATCGACATAACCTGAAAGGCCGCTCAGCAAGGAAGAAGCCACTGCTCCAAAACCGCCATAAAAAAGCCAGACTACGGTTTGCAACTGCACATGGGGACAAAGATCGTACTTTTTGGAGAAATGTCCTCTGGTCTGATGAAACAAAAATAGAACTGTTTGGCCATTGTTATGTTTGGAGGAAAAAGGGGGTGCTTGCAAGCCGAAGAACACCATCCCAACCGTGAAGCACGGGGGTGGCAGCATCATGCTGTGGGGGTGCTTTGCTGCAGGAGGGACTGGTGCACTTCACAAAATAGATGGCATCATGAGGAAGGAAAATTATGTGGATATATTGAAGCAACATCTCAAGATATCAGTCAGGAAGTTAAAGCTTGGTCGCAAATGGGTCTTCCAAATGGACAATGGCCCCAAGCATACTTCCAAAGTTGTGGCAAAATGGCTTAAGGACAACAAAGTCAAGGTATTGGAGTGGCCATCACAAAGCCCTGACCTCAATCCTATAGAAAATGTGTGAGCAGAACTGAAAAGGCGTGTGCGAGCAAGGAGGCCTACAAACTTGACTCAGTTACACCAGCTCTGTCAGGAGGAATGGGCCAAAATTCACCCAACATATTGTGGGAACCCAAGTTAAACAATTTAAAGGCGATGCTACCAAATACTAATTGAGTGTATGTAAACTTCTGACCCACTGGGAATGTGATTAAATAAATCGTTCTCTCTACTATTATTCTGACATTTCACATTCTTAAAATAAAGTGGTGATCCTAACTGACCTAAAATAGGGAATTTTTACTGGGATTAAATGTCAGGAATTGTGAAAAACTGAGTTTAAATGTATTTGGCTAAGGTTTATGTAAACTTCCGACTTCAACTGTGTGTGTATATATATGTATATAACGCCAAGGGGGGTGAATACTTTTGCAAGGCACTAATATATATATATATATATATATATAACACTTATATATTAATATATAACACTTATATATTAATATATAACACTTATATATATTTATTTTTATTTTTTTATGTAAAAAAAATATTAGTGCCTTGCAAAAGTATTCATCCCCCTTGGTGTTTTTCCTATTTTGTTGCATTACAACCTGTAATTTAAATGGATATACACACACACACACACACACACAGAGAGAGAAGCAGTACTAACCCCTGGTCTCTCTCCCAGTGCCCTGTCCCTAGCTGAGCTGGAGGAGAGATGCAAGGAGGCCGCTGGCCAGAAGCTTCCTCTCTCCAGACTGGAGCTGAACACACAGGAAGTTACAGAGCTCTTCCAGGTCAGAGGTCACTGGCTCTGTTTGTCTGTCATTGGCTGCATCTGAAATGGCATCCTGTTTCCCTATATAGGGAATAGGGTGCCATTTAGATGAGACATTAGCTGGCATTACAGTTATGGCCCACAGTATTCTAGAATGTAGGTGTGTTGCTCGGCTCCTACCTGTAGCAGCTTCTGGAATTGACTGTTTACATGTGTTGTCTTTAACCACTGCCTGTAATGGTCATCATCTAGGAATGTCTCTAATTCAAGGGGTGTGGCCGTGATACAATAGTGTGTGTGTGTGTGTGTGTACTAACTGAGTGTGTTCTGTCATCTAGGACAGAGCTCTGAGACTCCAGTTGATTGAAGAACAGATGAGTGGTCCTACTGTCACAGTGTACAGGTTTGTTGCTCAACATTTCACAGCCTGATACAACACATACTCACCACATGGTAACGCTACAGTCATGGTCTGTGTTTTTAAAGAGAAATTACTGGATACGCTAGGATGACATATCCATCTCTTCCTGTTCCGTGTGTGGGTCAGGTGTGGCGACAGCATAGGAGTCTGCAATGGTCCTCTCCTCCCTCACACTGGTCTCCTCAAGGTCTTCAAGATGCTGCAGGTACGTGTGTGTGTGTGTGTCAGCCTCCCTGCCTGTATATCAGTTCAGTGAGGAATATACAGTTCTTGTCTTCTCCTCATGACATCTAAACTACGCTGGACGTAAAACTGAATGTACAGGATTAAAGAAAGCACAAGTTAAATGGGTTTCCATCGCATTTTCATCTCTACTGATGGTTTTGTCATAAACAATGTAGCGAATGTGCCCTCTCTGGTATTGGCACGTGTGCTGTAGCCAACAGCTGGCAGATACAGTGCGGGTATAGCTTACATGATGAGATTATTATGAACAAAAGAGCGAGGTTATTTTGATTTGTAAACGGCAGCCAAGCATCAGACCCTTGATACAATTTGAAAGGAGCATCAAGCTCATCACCTTGCATTCACCACCATCTGAAGTTCATTAGAACTTATTTCATCTGTACTCTAATAAACTGCATGCTTTCCCGACGTGTCGTAGTGGGAGGACCACACAGACTTGTCATCACGTGACTCCAAGTTTACTTCGATATGATGGTTGTTATATAAATATTTGCGCATAAAAGCATTTCCACCGCCATTTAATTTTATCGCATTATTCATTTTACAGACACAAAAAGATCCCACCTTGTCTAGTGTATTTTGTTTTGTCTACATTTGGAAAGTTTACAGAGAAATGTGCTGTTTCTGTCCGGCCTGTCATGACATTTATTATCCAATATGTACTTTACTCGCATAAAAAGGTTGAATGGAAACCTGGTTACTGTTTAACTCGTAACATGGGCTGTGACATTACCATGCAATATAGCCATTAACTCTGACCTCTTCCTGATATTAATGTATAGTGGGACTGCGCTGGTCACACTGGAAATTCCTTACTGGTAATTGACAGTCACTTGGCAGTCACTGGCCAGTTAAATGATGCACTGGAGACTAACAAGTCAGAACAACATGACACACTGAAGACAAGCGGAACAAAACGCTGCTTGTTTTTTTCCTAGAAGCATTAGAGCTGTAGCGTGCTAACCCGTGATGTCAACCATGACCTATTTGCTAGCGCTGAGCAATTAGTGCTTGAGGTCTGTTCGGTTTCAGTTTGATTCTACAAAAATAATTGCGCTTTTCGGTTTCAGTATTATTTTTTTGATATTAAATGCACTGCATTATGTGGGTTGAATGCTGTAACAACACACAATACAATTCCTATGATGGTAGTGAATGCCCATTACTGCTTATCACCTATTAACCATCATTTATTCACATTACTTTAATAAAATATTTGTTTTATTTGATGACTTTATTATTTCATTCCAAGTCATCATCTCATCTCTATAAAGCTGCTGCCTATGCTGTGTGACTAAATCACTATTTTAGTAGTTCTTCAAAGTAAATAAGGTGTGCTTTTATGACTGCTGAATACCAACAATCAATCACTTAGATCATGTATTTTCAGGTAGAGATACCTCACGAAGCAACTGCTTTCTATCACTCTTGATCGCCCGTTCTCTCTTTTCTATATGTCTGCTCCACACAAACCGGACAAGTAGGCGGGTGCGCAATGGATTATGGTCATTTTAGTTAATTACCACGTTTTCTGCACTAAACTATGTAGAATATTGGCCTGTTGGAAACTACAACTCCCTACTACATCGCACAGTTCAGGCATGATCTGATTTATCTCTAGAGAAACTGCATTGAGCTCACAGAATAAATTATGAACTAAATGGAATTCAAATAATTGAACCGACGTTGGTCAATTAGCTGTTTGGTTAATCGCTCAGCACTACTATTTGCTTTCATGCTGTTGTGTTGTGCTGGGGAAAGTGGAAATTTCCATACTGGTGTTGTACTGGTCAGAATGGAATTTCCACTCTCCATGCTGGGAGAGCAATAGCCATTGAAACAATACCAGAAGCAGGATGTTGTGATTGTAATGGCCAGTTTCCTGCCCCCGCCAAGTTAAATCCTGTCGATCTCTATTGTCCCAAGGGGAAACGCAGCCCCTACCCATTATCTGTAGAGCAGTGGTTCCAAAATGGCGGCTATGGAACAAAGATGGCCGGGACATACCGTATATGTACTGAACAAAAATATAAATGCAGCATGTAACAATTTCAAAGTTACAGTTCATATAAGGAAGTCAGTCAATTGAAATACATTCATTAGGCCCAAATGTATGGATTTCACATGACTGGGAATACAGATATTCATCTGTTGGTCACAGATACCTTAAAAAAAAAGGTAGGGCCGTGGATCAGAAAACCAGTCAGTATCTGGTGTGACCACCATTTGCCTCATGCAGCACGACACATCTCCTTCGCATAGAGTTGATCTCATCACGGTATCTCTGTGCATTATAATTGCCATCGATAAAATGCAGTTGTGTTCGTTGTCCATCCTTAGCTTATGCCTGCCCGTACCATAACCCTACCGCCCCCATGGGGCACTCTGTTCACAATGTTGACATCAGCAAACCACTCACCCAATCAACACCATACACGTGATCTGCGGTTGTGAGACTGGGTGAACGTACTGCCATATTCTCTAAAAAGACTGCTTATGGTAGAGAAATGAACATTCAATCCTCTGGCAACAGCTCTGGTGGACATTCCTGCAGTCAGCATGCCAATTGCACGCTCCCTATAAAACTTGATACGTCTGTGGCGTTGTGTGACAAAACTGCACATTTGAGGGTGGCCTTTTATTGTCCCAAGCACAAGGTGCACCTGTGTAATGATCATTCTGTTTAATCAGCTTTGTGGTATGCCACATCTGTCAGGTGGATGGATGATCTTGGCAAAGGAGAAATGCTCACTAACGGGTGTAAACAAATTTGTGCACAAAATTTGAGAGAAATAAGCTTTTTGTGCGTATGGAACATTTCTGGGATCTTTTATTTCAGCTCGTGAAACATGGGACCAACACTTTACATGTTGCGTTTATATTTTTGTTCAGTATATTTCTCTTTTCTGCTACTCTCTCTTTCTTCTCTGTCCCCCCCTCTCGCTGTTCAGGTGTCTACCGTAACGTTGACCAATCCTGTTGGCTCGTCAGGTGTGATGCGTGTGATGGGTGTGGCCTTCCCAGGAGAGAGGGAGAGGGAGGAGTGGGAGAGGGAACAGGAGGAGGCACGGAAGAGAGACCACAGACGCATTGGCAAGGTGAGGTGGAGAGGGAAGAAAAAAGATCTAGGTCCAATACGCATAGAAATATAAACAACTGGAGACACCCGTCCTTTTTGGAGACTGGTTATTATTGGCACGGCAGCGCTACTGTAGCTAGCAGAATAGTGTAGAAGCTATTGCTAACTAGCGAACTAAACTATTTTAGTAGGCTAGCTAAGCATCTTGGCTAACTGTGAGGCATGTGCTACGGTGTCTCCAAAATGGAGCGTATACTGATATGGTAACGTGTGTGTGTGTGTGTTGCCTCCAGGACCAGGAGCTGTTCTTCTTTAATGACGTCAGTCCTGGAAGCTGCTTCTTCCTGCCTAAAGGAGCTCACATCTACAACACACTCACTGACTTTATCAAGGTAACACACGCACACACAAAGACGCATCACCATTTTTATGCTGGAATTATTATTTATTTGTATTGATATAAAATATAAAATGGACAGTAACATACACACAAACGTACTATACTTACCAATCCTTACTTAGCTACTACTTCTACAAAATACATCCAAGATTCACAGGAAGCCCATCTCTGCAGCCAACTCCAACACCCCCGGAATGGCTTGTAGTTTTTCCCATCTCTTCATCAGAAAAAAGCCACTGGTCTCCTGGGCCCAGTTTTTCAAAGGTTATTTATCTGTATTTTGCCTATCGGATAGTGTTAAATGCATAGAAATAGAGTGAATAGAACGGTGAAATCATTCACTTGAATTAGGAGTCCCGTTACGCTTATCAACCAAACATTCTAAATTCAAACATTCTACCAACTTCGCTTTGGTTGACTTAGGGGTGCGTTCGTAAATTCACTCTGGCTATCTACTCCGATTTCAGAGCACTCGTCTGAGTGTGCCAGAGCACAGAATAACTGATGAATTTACGAACGCTCAACACCCGTCGAATATGATCTGTGTCAGTAAGCGTCGGCAAAAAAAGCGTAAGTAAATTGTTGCCAGCAGCACAGTTACAGTCACCAACGCTCTTGATAACATGAAAACAACCTAACCAGCTCTGCTAGGGTGAGTGAAATGGTCAGAGTGAGTGTCCTCTCATTTGTGTCTGGAAGTAGCTAGCAAGCTAGCCAACGTTAGCCAGTTAGCTTGGGTGCTTGACTGCCGTTGTGTGGTCAGAACGCTCGGATCAACCCTACTCCTCGGCCAGAGCATCCAGTGTGTGCTCTGAACGCTCCGAGAGCGAGATGCTCTGAATTTACAAACGGACAATCTGACAACGCTCTGAATTTACAAACGCCCAGAGCACGCTCTGGCACTCCAAGTGAATTTACAAACAACACTCTTAGTATTTTTTTAATGATTTTAGAATAGAATGGCCACGACAATCAGCAAAGTACGCTTGCACGTACACACACACACACACACACAGCCGCTCATTCAGACATCTTTACCCTGACAGTAACCTCAGGGATACTCCTGTTGTGGTCAGTAGTCAGGAAATCACCCCAATTACTACACTGTGACTGTCTGTTCTCCAAATAACCATGGATAACACACGAGCACACACACACATAGAATAAATCTGTCTGTAATAATTAAGTTGTTACATCTCTCTCTTCCTCCCTTTCTCTCCCCCCTTCTCCATGACCCCTCTTCCTCCCCCTCCCTCCCTCCTCCCTTCCTTCTGTCCACCCCCCCCTCTTCTGTCCATACCCCCCCCCAGACTGAGTACAGGAGGCGTGGCTTCAATGAGGTTGTGACCCCTACTCTATACAGCACTGCATTGTGGGAGCGTTCGGGTCACTGGGAACACTACAGTGAAAACATGTTCACTGTGACCGGTGACACACACACCTACGCACTCAAACCCATGAACTGCCCTGCACACTGGTGAGAACACACACACTTACGTTCTCGCTCATACTCAGCCCCACACGTTGGTCAGGGACGTCTCACAAACACCTCTCTCTGTTTCAGTCTGATGTTTGAGCAGCGTGTAAGGTCATGGAGGGAGCTCCCGTTGCGTTGGGCCGATTTCGGGGCTCTGCATCGGAACGAACTGTCCGGCGCTCTGGGTGGTCTCACCCGGGTCCGCAGGTTCTGCCAGGACGACGCACACATCTTCTGCACTCCTGAACAGGTACACACACACACACACACAAAGACAATTCCTGTCATTTTGAACCTTTTTGGATATTTGTCTCACATTTTCCACCCCGGAAAGTCCTAGGACAGCAGACAGTGGGAGAAAGTGGGATTGTATCCCTGACTCCCCCAATGATCCCCCTCATCCCATTAAACCACATACACACACACACACACACACACACACACTTGTGCTTATACACACACTGATTCACATGATATTGTGAGGTTTGTTTTCCACTCTGGCTAATCCAATCACTGGAACACTTCACTGGAACAGTCAATAAATCAACTGTTCCTCCTCACTCATCTCAGAGTTAACCCTTAACCCCTAAAGCCCTGGAGTAATCTCTGGGTTAACCCTTAACCCCTAAAGCCCTGGACTCATCTCTGAGTTAACCCTTAACCCCTGGACTCTCCAGTTTCACATCTGTCTATTTATAATGTATTTTACAATATTGTATTTACATTCTCTATTCTTCTGTCTCCACCACTCTGTCCTCCTTATCTGGCTGTACTCCTGCCCCCCAATCCCTTCCTCTGCCTCTCTTTCTCCCTTCACTCTATCCCCCCCCTCCCACTCTCTCTCTGTCTCTGTCAGTTGGAGGAGGAGATCATAGCGTGTTTGGAGTTTGTGAGGAGTGTTTATCGAGTGTTTGGATTCTCCTTCCACTGTCTCCTCTCCACCCGACCTACACCCTGCCTGGGGGAGCCTGCACTGTGGGACCACGCTGAGCAGGTACACACAGACACACACATACAGACAGATGAACACAGAGCCAGCTGTGTAAATGTGTGTTTACTGTCCCACAAGTGAGGCTATAAATCACAGTACATAGCCTCCTCTACTGTAAGCATAATGACATCACATAATGAGAGACACTTATCCAATCAGTGTTGATATATGGCCATGTGGATGTAACAGAAAGTCAAAGCCCTGTCTGTTCTGTGGCTGCTGTCTATGCTCCCTGCCTCTCCCTGTGTGGATAAAAGCTCAGGAAATGAACAAAGAGAAGAGAAGCTCAATTAAGAAATAAGATCCTTTTTCTCTGTCCCACTTTCTTCCCCTCTTCCCTCTTTCACTCCCCACCCCTCCCTCTTGTCCCCCCGCTCTCCTCTCTCTACCTCTCTCTCTGTCTCTTTCTCTCTGAGCAGCAGTTGGAGAGGAGTCTGCAGCAGTTTGGAGAGCGCTGGCAGCTCAACCCAGGAGATGGAGCGTTCTACGGGCCAAAGGTCAGTTACACAGGACCCTTCTGTCTGAACGCTGCACCCCCCCTGAACAGAGCCCTGTTATTAACACTCACACACTCCCACATCTTCCTGTTGTCCTAGATTGACATCCAGATCAAGGATGCCATTGGTCGACAGCACCAGTGTGCCACCATCCAATTGGACTTCCAGCTGCCAATCAGATTTGACCTTCAGTATGTGGGGTGAGTCAGTCATCTGTGTCAGTTTAACCTGTGTGTTCTGGGATGTTCCCTGATGCAGCTTCTGCTCTTATCTAACTGATACATGTAATTGGATTGCATGTGGTTGGAAACATTGTTATTAGACTGAGGGGAATTTAAAGCTAGAATCCTTAGTTGCTACATCCATTTTTGGACTAATTTGATTCTTGAAGAATATGTTATGCCTCATGTTCTTAGTTCAACTGTCGTACCCCATCAGAACCCCAAATAGAAGCTTGTTTTACGCCAATGTTTGTAAACAACATACATGTAAACACACTGTATAGCCACAAAACATGTTTCAAAACAAATGTTTATATCATGGATGGTCAGTCCTTGCATCCATAACTCTGAATTTCAGAGTGGTTACATTTCTCCTGGCCCATCCCTTAGCTTTTGACCGAAACAGAGGCGGGGTGTCCACTTTGTTATTGTTTCAACTGCAGATTGTAGCTTTAAAAGATTGAAGTGAGCCTCATTATTAAGCACATGCTGCACCAGTTTATTTTCTTCATGCAAATCCCTCCTCTCCATCTCCTCTACCCCTCTCTCTCTCTCTCTCTTCCCTCTCCCTCCCTCTCTCTCTCAGATCTCTCTTCAGGTCTCTCTCTCTCTCTCTATAATTCACTCCTCTCTCTCGTCTTATCCTCTCATCGCTCTCTCTGTCTATCATCTCTCTCTCTCTCTCTCTCTCGTCTCTCTTCTCTTCCTCTCTCTCTCTTCCTCTCCCTCGCTCTCTTTCACCTTCTCTCGCTCTCTCTCTCAGGGGGGATGGAGAGACCCACAGACCAGTGATGGTCCACAGAGCTGTTCTGGGATCACTGGAACGCATGATCGCTATATTGGCCGAATTTCTGGGGGGACTGGTGAGAAGATTCGCGTTTGTACATCTGTGATTGATCTATTAAATATGGCCATTAGAGAAGCTTTTCCAAGCGGACTACAGTGCATACATTTTTTTATTTTTATTTTTTTGGAGGTGTCCCGGGATCGAACCCACTACCTTGTACAAGCGCCTGTCTACCGATGACTACTAGATGGATGACCCATTCATCTAAAATGATACAGTTTCAATGTTTTGGTTACCCACATTTCTCTTCCTCTTACTCACTCAGTTTCTCTTTCCCTTCTGTCTCTCTCAGGCCTCTGTGGTTGTCTCCAGCGCAGGTCATGATTATTCCTGTAGGGGGCGGTAGTGAGTCGTATGCGCAACAGGTCAGTACTCATCATATTAGATCTGGGGCCGTATGTATCAAGCATCTCAGAGTAGGAGTGCTGATCTAGGGTCAGTTTTGCCTTTTGGATCTTAATACTTAAGATTACATGAACAGGAGGAACCTGGTCCTAGATCAGCACTCCTGCTCTCAGACACATGATACACATGGCCCCTGTACTGCAGGCTGAAATCAAACCCCCATACACGCGACCAAACACAACATCACTCAGCACACATCAAAAGCTGTATCCCTCAGTGACTCAAAGATCGAAGGATAATCCAAACACTGTACCCACACACCATTCATCAACACTCTGAGAAGGACTTGATTTGAGGGTAATTTTTGTGACCAGGTTTTAGTTTATTTAACACATGGGAACCAACAATGAAACACAGCTAGGTACGTACATGCCACTACTCACATATCAATATTTTCTGCAAGTTACATCTGTCACATGATTAATGAGCCAGCAGCAGCTAAGACCAGACCCAGCAGATGACATGTAATATAGACATGTAATGTTGGACATTTAAAGCCTCAGAGGCCTTTATCAGGACACGGATCCTGTTTCTCTCTAGACTTGTCTTGTAAAAAGCCTGGCAGTCACAACATTGACGATACATCCTCCTGTATGTAATGTATATGTAGCCCCAGGGGAGGAGAGTATCAACACTGGTGATCTGGGGTTTGTCATGATGATACATAGACAGGTAATACAGCCACCAGAGTCTCGGCCCTCAGGGTGGAATTTAAAAGGTGCCGTCCTTACTGTTATTCTACCGTAGCCTGGTTCCTATCTACTCTACCACCACTGTGAGTGATGTGTGTTTTGCTCTTGTTAAGGTGGTCCGACAGTTCCGCGAGGCCGACTTCATGGCTGACGTGGATGATGACCAGGGTGCCACCTTAAATAAGAAGATCCGCTCTGCACAGCTGGCCCAGTACAACTACATATTTGGTAAGAGTGCGTGGGTGATCACGGATGAGATTACTGTAGATTCTAAATGAACTGACACAGCTTGTAAACATGTTAATTCAATAATTGTTTATTTCTCTCTTTCCGTGTGTGTTCTGTGTGTGTGTCCAGTGGTAGGAGAGAAGGAGTGTGTGAGTGGGACAGTAAGTGTGAGAACCAGAGGGGGTAAGCAGCTAGGGAGGAGACCGACAGAAGAGGTCCTGGCATCACTCACACACCTACGAGACACACGGAGCAACCTGGATGACTTCTAACACACACACACCTGTTGTAGATGAAGAATTGCTCACTGTACTTTTGTAATAAAATATAATATCTTAATTTATAAAACTCTTCTGGATGTCTTTTGAACACACTCTTTCTCTGTGCTTGCATGCGTGTGTGTGTAACTATCATTATGGACATGGTCATGTTAATGGGGCTGTTGTGTATGTAAGTGTTTCATTGTGCAGCACTGGTTGGAGAGACGTCCGTTTTATCAGGGTTTTCAGGCAACAGTTGTGATTGGTTGTTAATACTCCTTAAATCAACTCACCCCTGTTATGTAAGACTGTGTCATCACTATCAGAATAGAAACCCCTCCATACCTTTAAAAGACTGGAAGAAGACAGGCAGGATATGCAGGGAGCGTGGGGGGATTTGACTAAAATAGGAGAGGGAGCTGTGTGTGTTTAGTGGAAACAGGAAAGGCAGAACGAAGGTCGGAAGGTTTGAAGTTTTTCCCTCTTTTAATTGAGAGGGGGAGCGACGGAACGGAAAGGACATGAGTCACAACAGTGACAGAACAGCTAGGGGAGACAGGGAGGAGGGGGGTCATTATAACCCAGAGAGTGTGGGGGGGGGGGGGGGGGGGGGTCACAGATCAAACACAGACTAGACTGGACAAATAATCTCCTCAACAAAACGGCTATTGGCCAAAGGCGGCGGTTTTGTGTGCTTAGTTCTATGCGAGCACTTCACTGCCGAGACAGAAAGAGAGGGAGACCGAGAGGAGGTGAATTGGGTTCAGGCCAGGGGCTTTTGGTGTGTATCGGTCCCCAGAGCCAGACACTGTAAGTGGGTGACCAGACCGTGAGCATTCCCAGAGGAGGAGAGGCTGGACTTGGCCCCACGTTCCAATCACACAGATTACCGGTCACTCGATTAAAATGGACCAAAGAATAAAGCTTATTTCCAATACGCAGGATAAAAAGCCTCAAATTCCTTGTACCCACTCTCTTGATTGACTTTTGTTCTCTGAAATGTTTAAAGTTGGGGAGTTGTTTGGTGCGATAAGTGTTCCACAGTAGTTCCAAAGTGGTGACATAGACCATTAGTATCAGTGAACACTCCCAACACCATTAGTATCAGTGAACACTCCCAACACCATTAGTATCAGTGAACACTCCCAACACCATTAGTATCAGTGAACACTCCCAACACCATTAGTATCAGTGAACACTCCCAACACCATTAGTATCAGTGAACACTCCCAACACCATTAGTATCAGTGAACACTCCCAACACCATTAGTATCAGTGAACACTCCCAACACCATTAGTATCAGTGAACACTCCCAACACCATTAGTATCAGTGAACACTCCCAACACCATTAGTATCAGTGAACACTCCCAACACCATTAGTATCAGTGAACACTCCCAACACCATTAGTATCAGTGAACACTCCCAACACCATTAGTATCAGTGAACACTCCCAACACCATTAGTATCAGTGAACACTCCCAACACCATTAGTATCAGTGAACACTCCCAACACCATTAGTATCAGTGAACACTCCCAACACCATTAGTATCAGTGAACACTCCCAACACCATTAGTATCAGTGAACACTCCCAACACCATTAGTATCAGTGAACACTCCCAACACCATTAGTATCAGTGAACACTCCCAACACCATTAGTATCAGTGAACACTCCCAACACCATTAGTATCAGTGAACACTCCCAACACCATTAGTATCAGTGAACACTCCCAACACCATTAGTTACTGATAACTACAAGCCTAACAGTCAGTCACACTCCTCTCCTTACAGCATCCCCCCCCCCCTCTCTCTACTCTCTCTTTCTCCCTCTCTTCTCTCTACTCTCTTACATCCTCCCTACTCTCTCTCACTGTACTCTCTCTAGTTGCTTTCTCTGAACACACAAAGCAATCCTTCATTTGACAGTTCGAGTCGCACAGAGTTCATTCTGAAATTATTTTTAGCCAGGGGGGTTGAGAGAGAGAGAGGTGGGTGGGTGACGTTAAAGAAAGACCATAACACAGGGACCCGCTGAGGTAGGTGTAGATCACTGTCTCCAGTCAAAGGACCGCCTATAGGCTATAATGTAAAATGTCAATAGGGCTATAGGAGGACGAAATTAAATATTAATTTGCTTAGGGGGGTTGTTTATAAATATAGTTGGTAGCCTACAAGTCGTGGAGGTACATAAATGACCCAGGATGCGTCCCAAATGGCACCATATTCCCTATGTAGTTCACTACTTTTGACCAGAGCCCTATGAGTTCTGGTCAAAAGTAGTACACTATAAAGGGAATAGGGTCCCATTTGGGACACACTCCAGTTTCAGGTCATTCATATCCTTTCTGTGGGAGGCAGGCAGGGTGGCAGGGTGACCGTGACCAGAGGAAGACAAACAGAATGGTGGTGTGACGTCCTCTTGTTCTCTTCTGCTGGTATCACTGAGAACCTGTCAGACAATGATTGGTGGGACGCTGACCTCCTGAAATAGACCCCTGTGCTTGGACTCCCTTTCCCGTCCACCTCGGTAAAAGTAACCTCCCTGTGTGTGTGTGTGTGTGTGTTTGTTTAACTATCTTTGTGAGCACCAGAAGTCCTCACAAGGATAGTAAAACAAGGAACATTCGGTGGAGACATTTTGCCGGTCCCCATTTTGCTGGTCCCCACAAGGACAAATACTATTTTAGGCTTAGGGGTTAGGTTTAGGGATACAATTAGGGTTCGAATTAAGGTTAAGGTTTGGGTTAGATTTAGGGTTAAGGATTAGGGAAAATAGGACTTTGGATGGGAATCAATACTTTGGTCCCCACAAGGATAGCAATACAAAAGTGTGTGTGTGTGTGTGTGTGTGTGTGTGTGTGTGTGTGTGTGTGTGTGTGTGTGTGTGTGTGTGAGAGAGAGCCGGAGAGAGAGGGTTTGCTGCCAAGTGTCCTGAAAACAATAACAGGAGGTCTGTTGGCCTCTGCAGCAAACAGTGACAATGACATAGCAGTCAAGAGACCTCTCTCTCGCTCTCTTCTCTCTCTCGTGTGGGTGGGCATGTAGGTTTGCTGGGAATGTTTGGATAGGGGCAAGCCAATTAGTGAAGGGAATGTTATTATTATTTCTGATGGGTGTGTGTGGTGTAGGGAAGACACACACACACACTTAGTTGTAGCGGTATAGCTCACTGTTACACGCTCCAGTTGCCCAGCTTCAGTCCCATGAAAGGAATTCCTTATTGAGAAACAGACTGGGGGAATAAATGAGCTGTAAGGATTCTACTGGAGACATACCAAACCATGGACCCACACACACACACACATACACACACACACACATAGAAGCCCACTCCCCTCCACACACACCTCTCGCTCTCTCTCTCTCTCAATTCAATTCAAGGGGCTTTATTGGCATGGGAAACATATGTTTACATTGCCAAAGCAAGTGAAATGGATGAACTGTAAATATTACACTCATTTCCAAAAGTTATCTTTCTCTCTCTCTCTCTCTCTTTCTCCAATAAATATTTCCCAACTTCTGTCCTGATCTAGTTGCAGAGGAGGTTTTCTCTAAAGTATTTATTTGATCTGTCCTTCTCTCCCAGTCAGCCGGTCGGGCCTCTAATCCTCCAGTGTGTACTAAACACCTTTCCCTGGAGCTGTTTGCTTTACATCTGGCCCTGCATATAGCCAGTAATGGATGCACCCTCACACACTCTCACTCTCACGCACACAAACACACACACACACATGGCCTGTGAAGATTTCATGCCCGTGGAAGCATACACACACACAGACACACACACACACACACACACACACACACACACATACACACACACACACATAGAGACACACACATACACACACACACACACATTCAGACACACGTATACACACACACATACACACACATGCATACACACACACATATTTACGCTTGCACACACACTCACCCAATGAAAGTGCCAGGTCTGGAGAGGCAAAACACACACACACCTCGGTACAGTGAGGTACAGTTCTAGCTCTGGCTTCACTTTGCTCTCAAATATGTCTGCTATGTTCAACAACACACAGCTGACCTGATTTCATATCCTCTTCTCAGCAGAGAGAGAGAGACAGAGGAGGAGAGATGGAAAGAAATAGTGATTTGACAGGAGCAAGGATCGAAGTCAAAAAGAGAGAGTGTGTGCGTGCGTGTGTCCGTCAGCCCGTCTGTCTCTTCTTTCTAACCACCCCGTGAGAGAGGCGTTTGGTTTATTTTCTCTCCCCAGCGTGGTGAGATGATGCCAGGAGGGAGAGCGAGTTCTCTTCTCAGTTCACAGGGAGGTGAGGAGGCGAGGAGGCTTGGACTAGTTTAGGAGACATGGAGAATAAACCTGCTTTCTGCCTCTTTATAAATAGTTGGAGATAAATTCCAGCTTAATGAAAGAGAAAGAAAGATGGAAGTGGAGGGTTATAGAGCGAGAGAATGAGAGATGGAAGTGGAGGGTTATAGAGCGAGAGAATGAGAGATGGAGAGTGGAGGGTTATAGAGCGAGAGAATGAGAGATGGAGAGTGGAGGGTTATAGAGCGAGAGAATGAGAGATGGAGAGTGGAGGGTTATAGAGCGAGAGAATGAGAGATGGAAGTGGAGGGTTATAGAGCGAGAGAATGAGAGATGGAGAGTGGAGGGTTATAGAGCGAGAGAATGAGAGATGGAGAGTGGAGGGTTATAGAGCGAGAGAATGAGAGATGGAGAGTGGAGGGTTATAGAGCGAGAGAAATGAGAGATGGAAGTGGAGGGTTATAGAGCGAGAGAATGAGAGATGGAAGTGGAGGGTTATAGAGCGAGAGAATGAGAGATGGAAGTGGAGGGTTATAGAGCGAGAGAATGAGAGATGGAGAGTGGAGGGTTATAGAGCGAGAGAATGAGAGATGGAAGTGGAGGGTTATAGAGCGAGGAGAATGAGAGATGGAAGTGGAGGGTTATAGAGCGAGAGAATGAGAGATGGAAGTGAGGGTTATAGAGCGAGAGAATGAGAGATGGAGAGTGGAGGGTTATAGAGCGAGAGAATGAGAGATGGAGTGGAGGGTTATAGAGCGAGAGAATGAGAGATGGA